TGTATATTCATCATTGTTGGTCTAGCGCATACAGATTGCTTCTTGTGAATCTGAGCAAGGTCAAAGGTCGGCAACATTGGGTGAAGTTTTTGATTAAATGAAAAAAAAAAAAAAAGATTTGAAATGAATAAAAACATTTATTTACATACAGTCAAACCTGTTTTAAGAGGCCACTTGTGGGATAATGACAAATTGGCCACATAAGTCAGGTGGCCACTTATTCCAGGTTTCAAACCAATGAATAAAAATTGCGACCACAGTACGTTGTATTTTTATTTTCACACGTATCCAAATATACAATTTCAACACATTTAAAAAACTTGGGAAGTTTTAAGTCACATGAAATTAGGGGTGGGACGATATACCGATACACCGATACATATCGATATTTTCCTCTAAGATACGGTTTACGATACAAGCATTCAAATATCGGTACGAAACGATACACAAACAACCTATCCAAAGATTGAAAATGAAAGTACTTGTCCTTGGGAAAATGGCGGCTTGTACGAAGCGAAGAGACGATGATGATATTGAAAACATAATGTAGAACTAATAAATTGTTGATTAGGGGTAAAACGTTTTCCCTTTTGAGCAGCCTCGGAAGATTGAACAAGAAAAGTTTAGTATGTAATGCGTGCTATACACAGAAAGCATCGTTTCCAGAACATTTGATATTACTAATTGTTAGTCCATCTCGTGCTTTTTTGTAATCTTAACTAGGCTACAGACTTGCAGGAATTGATTAAAATGTAAATATGCTGTTTTTGTAGGAAATTTTAGTCAGTGTTCTTTGATGAACAACTCAACTGTTTGTAAACAACTTGTTTATAGAAATTTGGTAACAATAATTTGTACACGTATTATTGTTTTTATAAAGTTTTAATCAATGAAATTGATGAACTTTAAGTATTAATTTCAAAGCACACATGATTTTATATAGTCTAAGAATAATTTGTTGATTTAATATCAAGACAAAAAAAATGAAATTAAATACTAATTCTTTTGCATAGTTTTATAATTTATCATGTAACAGTTAAATTAATGTAAAGACAGAATATGAAATAAAATACTTTTTTATAATAGTTTAATATCATAATATCGAGATACGTATCGTATCGTGTTAATATATCGAGATACGTATCGTATCGCAAGATCTGTGTATCGTCCCACCCCTACATGAAATCCCTTTACTTATAATTCATTTTACATGAATTTCTGAAAAAAATTATTATTTTTTGTTGTGTTGGTAATTTTTAATTTACAGCTATAGAATTTGCATCAAACGAAACCATGAAATGTTTTAACAACTCAGAACTTCCCTGATGCTGTGTAAAGCTATCAATTTTTTTCTAGATATGTATTTATTTATATAACATAAAAGGTTAAACGCGCAACTGACCGCTTGACTTGATATCTTCAGACGAAATTGTAATTAATGTATTGGGTTTATATCATGAACATATTCAACAACTTTTGTATATATAAAGAACACCTAAAACATTTGTTTACAATAAATCCTTTAATCAAATTTATTAAATCATTAAATTCTGACAGAATTCAAATTAAACCTGCAATTATTGGTCATTAACTCATTATCAGCTGTTCATGTTTGGCTTCGTATGAGGATACAAGGTCACGTGTCAGACGGAAGTCATGTGACAAAACAGACAAAATGGCCGCTGAAAACAGGCATGTTGAGCGCAAGGGACCTAAAAACACTGGCCACTGGCCGCGTTAGACAGGTGGCCGCTTAAATGAGTTAAAACATAGTGAAAAAATGAACGGGCGGGATTGAAACTGGCCGCTCATGGGGAGTGGCCGCTGATTAAGGGTGGCCGTAACAGCAGGTGCGACTGTACATGATTTTCTCTAAATATTTGTTAAGTTTCCATGATTTATATATTGTCGAAGATGTGTCTGTCGGTGACCCTTCTTTCGGTGACTTGTCATATCAGCGAGTTTTATAGTGTCGGTGAAAAAAGTGTCGGCGAGTTGTTGTTTGGTGAGTTGTCTTTCGGTCACCTGTCATAGACCCGTGAATTTCATGGACTCTAGTTTAAAACAGGAATCAAATTCAATTGTTGGAAAGTTGTTGCATGATACTCAGGTGACCTATAAGGCCCATGGGCCTCTTGTTCCTAATTATTGTCGTAAAATCACATTTTTAGACTATGCAGTTACAGATCATGTTAATTTTGTATTAAAATCAAAATATTTGGCAAAGGTGTACTGTTGCACAAATGATTGCATGAAATTGAAAAGCTGCGCAAAGTCATGTGCACTCGAATTAGACTTGCATGGCCTCATTAATTTAAAGAGGCATCATGGACGCAGTTTAAGCTAAAAAAATTTCAAATTAGGTTTTCAATTTCTATCAGATTATTAACTTAAGTCTTGCTAATGATCATCAAAAATTTGAACTTCGGTTGTCGGGATACAAGACAGATTTAGAGCTCCAAACCTTTGTAATGTAAACATGGTCCTTGTCATGTTTTGTTTACATAATGTAAATATACTAATATGTATGTTCTTACAAAGCTGATAATTTCAAAAAGATAGACAATTCTAAATACAAGTAGTCAGTTTCTAGTGATTTGCTGAATTTCATTTTGTTATGAGTATGATATTTTCTATATGTAAATATAAACAAAGCTTTTGCCTTGTTTATGTTTACCTAAACTTTAAGTTCTCTATCTCATTTATCAATAAACAAATGATGTTCAAATTTTTGCTGATCAGTAGATGCATCGTCGGAAATCCACGGGTGATCTCGTCTTTACTCGTCTTTACTTATCACCCGTGGGCAAACTTGCTGAAATATCACCGTAAAATATGCTAATTTGTTGTTTTTAGTCAACCAATCAGAAAATTGGAACTCTTCAATTTTGAAAAATACGTTCATTACTTTGCTATTTATGGTAAATATTTTGACGCTCGTTAAATCGTGCGAAGTTTGATTTAAAACTATGAAAGTCAATTCATTCATGTCACTGACATTAATATCCGTCAGATATTATATAGGAGTACCTCTTTCAAACTGCAAAATGCACCGGTGAGTGGATTTATCAGCTGTGTTGACTACGGAATGAGTTTTTCATGTTTTGGCAATGCTGAACATGCATATGTAACGTGAACTGTAATTCGTTGTTTGGCATCGCGACTCTGTGAAGCGGCCAATCAAATGACCCATGCATATTTAATTACATATGACGATTTTTCGGCGAGGTTTGCCCACGGGTGATAAGTAAAGACGAGATCATCCGTGGGTTTCCGACGATGCAGTTGATGATGCCATACCTAGGAATTGTAAAAATAAATATTCATTTTAAAAAATCAGTTGAAACTGTGTCCATGCCCCTTGAAATGCATTGAATAAGTACCATCAGAGAATTTTTACTTTATCGCAAAATAATGAATGAGTATGAAAACAATAATTATGCCTCCCTTCGAAGAAGGGAGATGATGACATATTGCTTTGCTGGTGTCAGTCTGTCGGTCCACTTAGTTTCCATTCATTTTCTTGGCAACCATTGCACATACTGAAATGAAATTTGGTATAGAGATAAATCAAATGAATATCTAGGTCAGTTTTATTTTGGGTACAATCGCACCATTTTTGACAGAGTTATGCTCCTTGGACTTAGAAAAATTCCAATTATTTGAAGTTTCTGTTCATTTTCTTTGCAACTGTTGCACATACTGAAATGAAATTTGGTATACAGATATATCAGATGAATATCTAGGTCAAGTTATGTTTTGGGTACAATTGCAACATCTTTGCCCTTTTGGACTTGGGAAAATTCCAATTTTGGGGGAGGGGGGCATAAGTGTTTTACAAACTTTTCTTGTTTAGTACTTGTTTAATCTGTGTAAAAAGTGTTTGAGAAACATAAAAGAAATACCATTAGTTTACAATCATATTTTATAAAGATGGCATGTTCTAAATCTTGAACTTACTACGTGCATTACAACATGACAACAGCTGTTGTTTTCTAAATTTTATTATACTCCTGCAAATGAAGTTTGGGGGGTATAAAGGAATTAGCTTATCCGTCTGTCCATCTAGCTGTGCAAATGTGTCCGGTCCATGTCTTTCTTACGGAGGAACATTAGAATCTACTACCCCACAAAAAGATTGCTCATGGCCTAATGGTGTGTCGTGACCTTGACCCAAGGTCATTTGGGGAAGTTCAAGGTCACTGACAGAAAAAGTTTATAATTCCTGTCTGGTCTATATCTTTCTTATGGATAAACTTGGTAGTTTCTTATTTCACACAAAGATTGCTCATGACCTAAGGGTGTGTCAAGACCTTGACCCAAGGTCATTTGGGGAAGTTCAAGGTCACTAACAGAAAAAATTCATAATTCGTGTCCGGTCCATATCTTCCTTATGGATAAACTTGGTAGGTTCTAATTTCACACAAAGATTGTTCATGACCTGAGGTTGTTTTGTGACCTCGACCAAGGTCATTTGGGGAAGTTCAAGGTCACTGACAGAAAAAATTCATAATTCGTGTCCGGTCCATATCTTTCTTATGGATAAACTTGGTAGGTTCCTATTTCACACAAAGATTGCTCATGACCTAAGGGAGTGTCATGACCTTGACCCAAGGTCATTTGGGAAGTTCAAGGTATTTGGATGAAAAATTTCATAATTTGTGTCTTGTCCATATATTTAGTCTATTTTTTTATTAGGCTGCGCCTTTGTTTCATTTATTAAAAATATAATGAGCAACAATTACATTTCTCTCTTCTCTTAGATCCATAAGATATTCATGATTTAGGACCTCCGAAAAACCCAGCGGGAGGTATTTAGTCCCATTTGGACAGTTCTAGTTACAACTTGTCTATAAAGTAATTGGAACGCTTAATGATATTTGTGTCATTAAGTGGCATTTTATTTTTAGAGATTGCTACACAGCAGTGTGCCATTAAAGATGTTTCCTGATTAAATGTCACTTTGAAAGCCATTATATTTCTCTGGTTTATATTTGCAGGCTGCTGCCTTCGGAAAGTGCTTTTTGACAGACTACAGTCCAGAGGCCTATGTTAACATGTGTCAAATGCTGCGAGTCCTGAATCAAGTTAGAAACCATGTTATTGGCATTCCTCTGACTTATTCACAGTATCCTTCAACACAAGTCCATTTTTAGCTCACCTTAGCCAAAGGTTCAAGTGAGCTATTCTGATCGAAATTTGTCCCTTGTCTGTTGTCGTCGTTGTAAACTTTTCAAATTTTCCTTCTCAAGAACCACTGTGCCAATTTCAACCAAACTTGCCACAAAGTATCCTTGGATGAAGGGGATTCAAGTTTGTTCAAATGAAGGGCCACTCCGTCTTCCAAGAGGAGATAATTAGGAATAAGTGAAAAATTAATAGCATCTTTTAAAAATCTTCTTCAGTCTGAAGAACAACTGGACCAAGAAAGATAAACGTCTGTGGAATCATCCTCAGGTAGTGTAGATTCAAATTTGTTCAAATCATGACCATAGGGGTAAGGTTGGGCCACAATGGACAATCAAAGTTTAAAATAAGAATATGTATGAGAAATCTTTAAAATCTTCTTCTCAGGAACCACTGAGCCAGGAAAGATGAAACTCATGTGGAATCATCCTCAGGTAGTGAAGATTCAAGTTTGTTCACATCATGACCCTCGGGATAGGGTGGGGCCACAATTGATGAAAAAAGTTTAACATAAAAATATATAGGAAAAATCTTTTAACTAGAAATATGTCCATAGGACATGAATGCCCCGCCGAGGGTTTATTAGTAATGCAACATGAAAATTTATATAACTAGATGAACTTTGATCAGAATATCTTGAATAGTGATGCATTTGAATTGCTTACATCAGTATGTATTACCATATGAAGTTTGACATTAATTTCTTTAAAGTGATGTCAAGGTCAAAAATGCCAAGGTCAAAGAATGTTGATGCAGTTGAAAAGCTCTCATCAGTATGTATCAGCATATGAAGTTGAAAAATTATTATAAATAGTTTCTTTTAAACTGATTTACACCAATTTGATAAAGTGATGTCAAGGTCAAATGAAAGGTCAAGGTCAAAAATATAGATACAGTTGAAATGCTTACATCAATATGTATAAGCATATGAAGTTTGACAATAATTTAGTAATGTTAGGTCAAGGTCAAAGCAAAGGTCAAGGTCAAAAATGTTGATGCAGTTGCATATCCATCATCAATATGTTTAAACATATAAAGTTTGATAAAAAAAAAAATCTTGAATGATTTCTTTAAAACTGACTTAAACACAATTTGAAGGTCAAGATCAAATGAAAGGCCAATGTCAATAATGTTGATGCAGTTGAATAGCTCTCATCAGTATTGAATTGTATGTATCAGCATAAGAAGTTTGACACTAAATTAGGAAAAGTTAGGTCAAAGGAATGGTCAAGGTCAAACATGTTGATGCAGTTGAATATCTCTCATCAGTATGCATCACCATATGAAGTTTGATAAAAATATCTTGGATGGTTTCTTTAAAACTGAGCTAAACACTTGTGATCAAGTTGAAAGGAAAGGTCAAGGTCAAAAATGTTGAAGCAGTTGAATAGCTCTCTTTAGTATGTATCAGCATTTGAAGTATGATAATACTATCTTGAATAGCATCTTTAAAACTGAGCTAAACATTAATTAAAGAAAAGTGAGGTAAGGTCAAAGGAAAGGTCAAGGTCAAAAATGGTGATGCTGTTGAATAGCTCTCATCAGTATGTATCAGCATGTGAAGTTTGATAACACCATCTTGAATGGTATTGTTAAAACTGAGCTAAACACTAATTTAAGAAAAGTGAGGTCAAGGTCAAAAAATGCTGATGCGGTTGCATAGCTCTCATCAATATCTATCAGCATATGAAGTTTGATGAAAATATCTTAAAGAGTGTCTTTGAAATTGAGGTTTGAACAGAGTTAAACGCAAAGTGTGATGGAAGGACAAAAAGACAGAAGGACGGAAGATGGACATGAAAAACACTACCGTATAATCCCTATTAACTGCCCCGGGCGCTTAGAAAATTGTGAAAAGGGGGCGGTTATTTTGGTATTCTCTTCCTAAAATTTAATGTCGTATTTTAATTTCAAAAAATCTTTTGAAAAAAAAAATAAATTCAAAGAAACACTAAAATGTCTAACTTTACTCTAAGTGAAGATAATCCATCCATATTATGCTAAGTGATTCATTTTCCACCAAGAAATTGGATTATAGAAAGTTTCATTTTCACTTTCTTCAAATCTTGGCAGACTTTTAATATGATTCTAAATGATTTTAATGATTGGTCACAGATATATGAAAGCATTCCCAGATTGTGGATTCAAGTTTGTTCAAATCATGACCCAAAAGAGAAGGGTGGGGCCACAATGGGTTATCAAATTTTAACATTTGAATACATAGATAAAATCTTTAAAAATCTTCTTCTCGAGAACAGAAAAGCTGTGATTGGTCATATTTATATGGAAAGCATCCTCAGGATGTGAAAATTTTATTTTGTTCAGATCATAACCGCCGTTGATCGAGTGGGCCACAATGGATGATTAAAGTTGTACAAATGATTAAGTATGGAGAATTTTTTAAAAACATTTTCTCAATAACAGCAAAGTGTGATTGGTCATATTTATACATGGAAGCATCCTTAGGATGTGTAGATTCAAGTTTGTTAAAATCATGACCCCAGTGGGGTAGGGTGGGGCCACAATAGGTGATCAAAGTGTTATATGACTACTTAAGGAAAACCTTTGGTAATCTTCTTGAGAACAGCAAAGCTGTGATTGGTCATATTTATATGGAAGCAGCCTCAGGAAGTGTAGATTCAAATTTGTTAAATCATGACCCCTAGTTTAAAGGTCAATTATAATATTTTTGTGAAAATTCATAACTATTCATTATTGTCAGCCTTTGAAACAATATGAATGATATTCTGAGCTCTGTTTAACTTTTTGTCACCAATTTCCATCACTAATAGTCGTTTAAACTTTTCTGTGTGACAAGTGGATCATTTATTGTAAATCGCTTATATCCCTTGTTGCGTGACGTCATCAGAGACAGCGTGAAATAGGAAGTGCATGCTATATTGCCATGTTTGGAACATTATTGTTTGCGAGAAGTTGCCATGTGGGCTAAAAGCCAATAAATCGGAACAAGACATGAGGATATATTTAAATTCTTATGCACCTGAAATTGAGGAAAATATGGACATTCAATTTAAAAAGAGATGGTTTTGAGCCCAATAAACATGAAACACTATCAATAGAAGTGACATTTTACATAGACCAGTTAAGGCTACATTTTAATTAATTATAAAATTATCTCACGAATTTCTTGGTATTTCAAATTTCAATTGCATTTTTCAATTTGTCAGTTTAGGTATTTATAGCCGCAATACTGTTTTTAGGGAAAGTTTTTTTTATTCTTGTTACAGTACTCAACAAGATCACAAGTACCTGAGGATTGGTTCATGTACTTTGCCCCTTCCCTCCCTACTGAAAATAAAACTAAGCAAAATATACATGAATTCCTTGTGCGTCATACCAATACTTTGATATTTTATATTTTCCGCTTTTGTCAAGTTTTAGAGATTGGCCCTTTACAGTATAGCATGCACTCAGTATATACATGACTGAACATTACGCGGCGCCAAGTCAAAAGTACATGTATTTCGCCATAAACCTCTAACATGCTGGAGTTAAAAAAAAATACTAGTAATTTTCATATACTGTGAAGGAACAATCTCTAAAACTTGACTGACAAAAAAAGGAAGGTGTGGTATAATAGACAAGGAATTGATTATCTGCCAAGTTACTAGGGCTGTTCAATAAATAATGTCCTCGGTGCTCGGAAAGAAGCAAAAGACGATTTTCAATGATTTCGTCTTCATGATTTTACTTATTAATCTCTTTTAATTAAAACACGTGTCCGTAACATTTTTTATTCAATTTCTGTTTGTTTTTAGAACTCATTTTAGGGTATGACCCATAGTATACTGGAAAATGGCAGATCCAATGATTTCCTGGATTTGTTTCTTCCTTCTGAAAGGTGTTTTTTCAAGTTTAAAAATAGAAACAAGTCAAAAGGTCAAAGATCTGGCGAATATTGGTAATGTGAAAGAACATTAACTTTCTGTTTATCCCGAAAACCCCTTTACTCTTCGGGCCGTTCAGGTTAGGACGCTGTCATGAAGAAATTTAATGTAGCGGATTCCTGATTCTAGGTTCTTCCTCTAATAAACCTTTCGATTTTTTTGCAAAAAAATTGCTTTCTAGACTTCTCCAGAAATTAAACTGTCTCCCCGAATATGAATTTAAACAACAAGACCACTAATATTTAAGAAAATTGCATATAAATCTGTCTTTGTGCTCTTGCATATCTTTGCTCTTGTCAGTCCTTTGCTGTTTTTATCAAGTACATCTTATGGTAAATTTTATTTTGAGGGTTTTAAGCAATAGATTCATGTTCCATTATCTGATTGAATATCAAACAAATGTGGATAACTACAATTACTGATATTTTAAAATAATTGTTAAGACTTTTGTACACGCTGTCGTTTTCACTCATTTTTCAAAATATAGGGTGACCTTTGAGTACCAAGCTTTTTTACCATCAAACGTTTCTTAAAAACTGTGTAAACTACTCCCGATATGATGTCTATCAAATTCACTATGTGATTTAAAGTCAATCCTACATCATCAAATATTATTTGTTGAAATTTGGCAAACAGTACATAAGTTGTTATAATTATACCCCCCACAAACGAAGTTTGGGGGGTATATAGGAATCACCTTGTCCGTCTGTCCGTCCGTCCGTCAAGCTGTCCGTCTGTCTGTGCAAACGTGTCCGGTCCATATCTTTCTAACGGAGGAACATTAGAATCTACTACTCCACACAAAGATTGCCCATGACCCAAGGGTGTGTCATGACCTTGACCCAAGGTCATTTGGGGAAGTTCAAGGTCACTGGAAGAAAAATTTCATAATTCATGTCCGGTCCATATCTTTCTTATGGATAAACTTGGTAGGTTCTCATTTCACACAAAGATTGCCCATGACACAAGGGTGTGTCGTGACCTTGATCCAAGGTCATTTGGGGAAGTTAAAGGTCACTGGAAGAAAAATTTC